CTCCCCCAAAGGGCGCCATTTTCCTCCATTCCTCGTGCTTGGACGACTTTGCGCCACTGTCCAATGTGATTTACATAAAACAGGAGGCGTATTGGCGCATCCACGGCTGTGTGTGGGGACGTGAGGCTCGGTGTTGCAGGTGCACACATTCGTACCGAATAAACTCACTGCATTGAAAAAGTGAAACCTCACGGGCAACGCCAAACCGAGAAGCAGCTTCCCTGCCCACATAGCAGTCAGGCATCGGGCACCACCATCCATGCGACCAGCAAGAAAAAAGTGGAACAGAAGGCATGCCACCAACACAGCCGGCAGTGGGGACAAACAAAGCACGAAGACACGCAGCGACGGTTGCGGGCACAGCGCAGACTAAACGTGAGCCGCACTTATTTCCCACAAAGAGAAAAACATTAAAATAAAAAAAAGGGAGTTCCAGCAGGACGCCCAGAAAAGAAAAGCAAAAAAAAACATTAAAACAAAAAACAAAAGAAAAAAAATTATTGCAACACGTGTTTTTTACTTCACGTGTCCAGAAGCAGAATAGGACAGTGCATATTTACTGCCCGCAGAAAACAAAAACGACTGCCTAGTCACACATCACGGCTGCCCCTCACGGTCTCCGCGGCCTCGTGTCTCGCTTGGGGAGTCCGTGCGACGTACAGCGACAACGCCAACGGCGTGCGTGTGTTGATGGCAGCGGCAAACAGGAGGGGGAAGGGCACCACCCATTGTGAGTGTGCGTAGCAAACGACCACTGAAGCAAAAAGCAAAAAAAAAAAAGCAAAGGAGCACCCCTCAAAGCACAGGAGAGGAGTTGGCCCACAGGGGCGACACGCAAACTCGGCGCACAAACACTCTGCGTCGCCCTGCCAGGGTGTGTGTGTGGGTGTGCGGTTGCCCCGCAGCAGTCACTCCCCAGCAGCACAGGCAACAGCAGCCATCAGCAGCAGCGGCAGCAGTGAGGAGACACGTGCCCACACAGCGGCGGTGTCGCTGCTCGCGTTGCCTTTTGTGGCGGCCATCGCAGCCTCAGCCAACGTTGTCAACCTTCCCTGAGGTCCCTCATGATGTTTATTGAAGTTTGGTAACTTACATTCGACTGGTTCATCAGTAGAGACATCACCCTCAGTGAGGGTGACAGTTTCGCCTTTTGACAGCTTGTGCAGTGTGCTGTTTTCATTCGTCAAACACTCCATCGTAAACACCAGAAAATATTTTTGCAACTCCGATGCGGTGCATTCCTC